AAAAAAAAAAAAAAAAAAAAGAATTAACAAAATTATAAAGCAAAAAAAAAATTACTAAGTATTTATTAATTAAATTAAAAACATAAATAAATAAAATTAATTTATTTTTTTTTTTTTTTATTAACAGATCATGTAGTATTATATTTATAAAAAAATATACTTAACTAGACAGGACATTAAAAATTTCTTTTTTTTTTTCATTTAATAACGAATAACAAAATTGAATAGAATTATCTTCAAGTATTGATAAACTAGTTAAAAAAACATTTTTCAGAATTTGTTTTTCTTCATATTTTTCTTCACTTATTTCATTATTTTTAGAAATTATTTCATAAATATCTACAATTTGAATTAAAACTGGAAAAGCTATTTTTGACAAATTCAGTGTATTCTTATTATTTTTTAGAAAATTCATAAAAAAATTAGCATTTCTTAATAATATCTTATTTATTCTAAAAAAAAAAATAAAAAGTATTTAAGTAAAATTTATAAATACATATATCTTATTCATATATATATATATATATATATATATATATATATATATATATATATATATATTTTTTTAATTTTTTTAATAATTTAACTTTAACCTGTTATCAAAATATAGAATTGAATCTAGGTATGAACATAAATATTTTATAATATATGCACTTTTTTTTATAACTTCAACAAATGTTTTTTTTGATTTAATAATTTTTTCGTTTCTTTCTAAAAAATTAAAGAATTATTTATTTTATAATTTTTTTTTTAAGTAAATAAATATATATATATATATATATATATATATATATATATATATATATATATATATATATATATATATATATTATATGTTATCTTTTTCTTACTTATATTAAAAAATTCATAAAGTATTGTAAAAAGTTGGTGACTAAGTAGGTACAAATAAAATTTCTTCTTTTCAAAAAGATTTGAATTATTTAATATATAAAAATGAGTGATAAAACTTTTATTCAATATTGTCTCATTTCTATCATTACTTTTTAGTATTTTTTTTTTTCTAAAAATAAAATAAAATAAAATAACATATGAAATTATTGTATTCAAATTTTTTATTTTCATTTTCCTATTTTTTTTGTATTACAATATGTCCATTATTTTGACTAATAGGTTACAATAGTCACTTACAAAGAGAAGAAAAGTAGAATATCTGTTATCTAAAAATGAATTAAAGAAAAAAAAAAAAAAAAAAATTAAAAATAATAAGATAAAATAATTAATATTATGCATATATATGTATACCTGTAGAAGAAAATTTTAACTTAACAAAAAAAAAGTTAAAAAGTTGTGATAATTTATAAATAAAATGATATAAAAGAAAAGAAATCTCAGGATTTTTAAATATATTTAAATTTTCCAAAAATGATTGAGTATATTTAATTATATGAAAGTATAAATTAATAAAGAGTAAACAATTATCTGATTTTTGTTTTAGAAGAATTATATGAGATAAAAATTCTTTATTATTAGAAAAAATATAAATTAATGTCATTATATGTATGTTTGAATAAAATAAAAAGTCTTTAATTTCCTTTTCCTCATATATTTTATTGATTTCTATATCGACATATTTTAAAACAAACTCTACTTCTGCAGAGGTATAACTTAATAAGTTTACTATTTTTTTTAAAATATCTTTATATTTTAAACAAATATAAATAGATTTTTTTTTATTAGATTCTACTAAAATTTTGTTATAATGAAAAATGAAATCATATATAATTATACAACTTTTTTTATTTTGTTCCTCTTTGAAAATATAAATGTTACTTAAATCAATAGATAAAAATAATTTGAAGAATAAAATTAATTTTTTTTTATTTATTATATTAATTTTTGTTTTACTTTTCTCTTTTTCAACATTTTTTGAATTTTCATCATCATCTTCAAAACTAAAATTTTTCGTAATTTTTTTATCTTTAGAGTATTCTACATTTTGCAATAATTTTTTCTTTTTCTTAATGTTAAATATCTTTAGAATAAAAATACTGTACAGAAATGTTTTATATTCTTCACTTACTTGAAAAAAAATTTTATCCACCTTAACTTTTTTAAACATATTTATTATTTTGAGAATAATTTTATTATTACAATTTTTCTTAAAATTTCTACCAGTAAAAAAGGAAAAAAATATATATTCTATCAATCCCAAAAAAAAGGAATTTATTTTTATTGTAATATCATTTTGATTATTAATAAGAAGATTTTTAATGAACTTTTTCATTTCTTTTATTAATTTTTTACTATAAATTTTTCCTACATTTAAAGTATTATTGTTGTTCCTATTACTATTATCGTCATTATTACAAATATTTAAATGATTTAGCATATATGAAATATTTTCATCATCTATGTCATTATTTTTTTTTTCTCCTATTAAAATATTATGAGTTACTATAAAATACTTAATAAAAAAAAGAAAACAAGCTTCTAATTTTTCATTTTTAATTTTCGTATTTATATTTTTTCTAATATCTTTATCATCATTTTCACTTTGTTCATTTCCTTTATCCAATATTTTTTTGTTTATTTTATTGTTTCTTAAACCTGTATCATCTTTTGTATTATTTAAGATATTATAATTACTCTCCTCATTCTTATAAATATTAATAAAAATAAAAAATATGTGAAAAAACAATTTTAGAACAAAAATATTCTTATTATTTATGTATTTCCCATTATCAATATACTCTTTTTGTTTTTTAAAAATATAAAAGGAAAATTTTATAAAAATAGAAATGTTTGCCTTTCTTTTTTTTAAAGATTGTAAATTCTTAATAAAACATAATAAAATATTTATTAAAATATATTCATAATATATATTGTAAATATGAAAATTTTCAAATATTTTACATAATAATGTGTATAATTTTTCTTGCATATTTTCAATATCATTAAATAATACAAATAATTTACTTAAAATACATATGTCTAAGTTTATGTTACCACTATATTTATTATACATATATGAAGGAATATTATAATATGGACTTTTAGAAAATATATCAATCATTATATTTTCATAGTTATCATATAAATTGTTTTTAAAAATCAATTTTTTACTTAAATTAAATATCTCATACCAATCATTATTATAAGTAAAACCAATATTTTTTTCAATTAGTACATTAGAATAGTTAATTAAATTTATCTCTTCATTTTGTAAAATATTTGTACATATATTTTCATTATCTATCAATTCCTTTTTTTCTCTTAAATCATTCTCTAGGTTATTTATTATTAATATGAAATGTAATGTAAAAAGTTCATTGAATAAATCAGTAAGTCTTGTTTTTTCTTGTATATTAAAAAAAAACTCAAAAAAAAAGTTATAATTATGTTCATTTTTTATTATATTAATATCAATAAATATAATTTTTATTAATTCTAAATATATATTTTCAATTTCCTCATTATCATCAAATATCTTCATTATGAAATTATAATTATAAATAAAAAAACTTAATATGTGTTTATTAATTCTTTTTTTCATAACATAAGAATAATCTTCCAATGAGTTCTTTTTTAAAACATTACTAATTTGTTTGAAATATTCAATCAACTCACGTTTATCTACAAAATATTAAAAGAAATAAAAGAATATAATATTAATCATATAAAATTTATTTATATAAAAAAAAAAAAAAAAAATATATATATTATTAACAAAAATAAAAATAAAAAAACATATACATATACATATATATTTATATTACTAATTATAATTTGTTAAGTAAATATATACATTACAAAAAAGTTATTTTATATTTACATTTATGTAATATTATTTTGTTTAATTCTATATCTTTTTATTTTATTTTTTTTTTATTTTTTTTTTTTTTATAATTACCTAATAAATGAAATTCGGCAAAATAAATATAAAAAAATAATGTCTTCAAAATTATTTGTAGTAAATCAAAAAATTTATAAATAGAATCTTGTTCAATACATTGATCATATGTTAATTCAATATTAATAAAATTATTCTGAAGTAATGATATTATTAAATGAACTTTTTTTTTTAATATTTCAGTTTTTGTTTTACTATTTAATATAGCATATGTAGCTATTCTAGATATACAAAAATTAAAAAAGTAAAAAATATAAATGCTAAAATAAAAATTGTAATATTTGGTATTAAAAAAGTTCCCTTTTATTTGTTCATGAAAAATAATTATATTTTTCTTTTTTTTTAAATACAACTTTACTATTTTTTGAATATATTTTAAAAAATTACTACTTATATTATTTTTATATATCGATTTTAAATAACAACAAAAAATATATTCTAATGTTTCAATATTAACAAACATAACTTGATACTTTTGTACTAACTGCGATATCGAACAATTTTCATCATTTATCTGTAATAAATTGATATTTTCATTATTTTGAATTTTAAAACATTTATTAGAATTTAATAAAAAATTATTTTTTATAGAAGAAAGAATTTTGTCTAATAATGTATTAAATTCATTTATGTGAAATTCATATAATTCAATAAAATAACTACAAAAATTAGTATGTTGATCTATTAATTTATTCATATTATCTTTAAAAACATTTATAAAAATAGAGTTCAACAAAAAATTAATCATTCTTAAATGTGGTAATTTTTCAATTCCTATATAATTATGTATATATTTTATAAAATAATTTAAATCAAATATATTTATAAATATGGTTAAAATATTTTTAATTATGTGATCACTAAAATTGTGTATATAATAATTAGTAAAAATATTTAAATTGGAATATTTGAAATCAAAATTAATTCTTCTAATAAATGAAAAAAGTGTAGAAAATATAAATTTGCAAGGTTTTATATCAAAATTTAAAATATTAATTAAGTTAAGTTGATTTGTGTATATTAAGTAATTTAAATATATAAAAATATTTGTTTTTTTATTAGATATACAAAATAAGTGAATTAAATTATCATTATTTTTATTTACACATGTATTGAAAATATTCTTTAGTTTAGAGTTATATAATACTAAGTGTGGTTTTCCTTTTATATAAATTTTTTCATAATTATTTTTAAAATGAGAATATTTTTCAAATATGCTATTTTCTTTACATTCTTTTATTGCACTTTTATTTTTATCTGAAAGTAGAAAATAAGCATTTGTTATACAATCAAATATATATTTTACAAAATATGCTAAATTAATAAATAAAAAGGAATCTTTTTTTATATTATTTTTACTATTTAGATAATTTAAACATTTATAAATTAATTTAGAATATTCTACTAAAATGTGTAGATTACTAAATACTTCTTTATCACTATTTAAATCAATAACATCTTGAAAAATACAAGACGAATATGGAATTTTAATATTCATTTTTTTATAATATATTTCATTTATTTTATTGCAATTTGTTTCTGAATGCTTTTCAATATCTTCATCTAAATCTACTTCAGAATCTATATTTTCCTCTTCATCTAAATATCCATCTAATTCTACTTTATTTTCATCTAAATTATTATCATTTTTATCTTTTTTTTTTTTTTTTTCTTCTTCTTTATATGATTTTATTTTTGTTTCCTCTTCATTCACATTTTTTTTTTGTATACACTGTTCATATTCCTTATTTTTTAAATGACTAAAATCAAATAATTTTAAATATTCATTTTTCATTGAATTATTGTAAATACACAATTCAAAATGTGGTATTAATAAAAAAAATAAAATAAAACTTTGAATACATTTAAAATTTGATGTGTTATATTTCATAATAAGATATTTCATAATTATTAACAAAATTTTAATGCTGCCTTTTATTTTAACAATATTTAAAAATTTATATTTATTATTTAAATCATTATCATTTTTAAAATAATATTCTAACTTTTCCATTTTATTCTTATTTATAGAAAATAAGCAATTTAACTTATTATTCTGAAAATCATAATTAAAACATGGATTATTATTCCCTATTTTATTAAAAATTATGTATATTATTTCTAATATCTTATTATTATCAGAAAAATTAAAAAATAAATAGTTCATTTTTAAAGTGTATTTACTTTTGTCGTATAAATTGTATATATTTTTAAAATATTGCAAGCAAACATTTTCCACACACAAAATAATGAATCTTTTTATATTATTTTTTAAGATGTATAAATCATTAATAATATTAAATAAATTAGTGCTATCGTCATCATTAGTTGATACATGATTTAATTTTTGAATGTAATCATATGAATAACAATATAATGCAAATAAATTATTAAAGAAAGCATATATTTTTATATCATTATTAATAATTTTAAAATTCTTAAAATATAAAGAAAATATATTATTTATATTATTCACTAAATCATATATTTTAGTAATACTGTTTATTGTATAATTGGAATCATTTAATTCAACGTTGTTGTTTTCTTTTTTTCTTTTTTTATTAAATTTCAGATCACTTGGTGGTCTACATATATCGTTATTTTTTTTACCATCAATTAGTAACTCCTTATCTTTTTTGTGTTTTTTATTTTTTTCTGAATCAAATAATAATTCTGTTTCCTCATTTTTTTTCTCATTTTCTTTATTCTCACTAATACTTAAAGTATAATCAACTTGATTTTCGAAACAATATATTCTACAGTTATAAAAAATATCTATCAGTAAAATTATAGTATCAAACAACATATTAAATATATTAATCGTATTTAAATTAATTTTTTCATTTTTATTAATTAGGCATAATATCTTATTAATAGTTATTATTTTTATTTCTTTATTTTTTTCTAAAATATATTTTAAATTTAACAGTGGTAAAATTTTGTCTATAATTATAGTTTCTATATTTAATCCATTTTCTATTAACAATTTCAAAATCAAATAAGTTAATTTATAATTTTTATTATATACATATTTTAAATTAATATTTGACAAAATACATATATAATATTCAATATTATTTACTATATCTTTTTTGTTCAATGTTTTTACATTATGTTTTATTTTCTTCAATAAATTATCTGTAGAATTATCTACTTTAAAGCTATTGTTCAATATATTCATATTTTTAAAACAAAAAAAAAAAAAAAAAAAAGAAAAAAAAAAAACTAATGTAATGAAGTTTTAAAAAATTTAAAAAATATATAAATTACTTGTTAAATATTTATGGAATAAAAATAATATTAAAGAAAAAGAATATAAAAAATTTGAACAACATCTGTAATATAAAAATACAGAGAAAAATATCAAATATATCATAATTAATATAAAAAGGAAAAATTAAAAATAAAAAAAAAAAAAATAAAATAATACAAACAAATATATTATTAAAATATTTATTACATAATAAAAATTAAAATAAATTTATGTTGAGTATTTATTTATTTTTTTAAAAACTATAATAAAATTAAGTTAAATATATATATATATACATATTCTTTTATTTTTATATTCAAAATGTATCTATGAAATAATAACAACAAAAAAAAAATTATAAAATATTCTATACAATTATTATAAGAGTTGAATATTATTTTATTATATTTTTTTTTTTTTTTTTTAAACTTTTCCTCTTACAATTTTGTAAAAAAAAATTTTCAAAACACCTTTATGTAGTATTTAATTATTTTATTGAAATAATTCAATTTTTTTTTTTTTTTTTTTTTTTTTTTTTTTTTGCTAAAGATTTTAAAAAATAAAAAAATAATACAATTATAAAATTATACATTAACCTGAAGATAACACCATATTGATTTTTTTATTTATTTATGAAATCGTTAATATAAATACAAGAATATTTTAAGGTTAATTGTATATATATGTATATATATGAACATTTTTTATTCTAAAAAATTTATTTTTAAAAGATATTCCTTTGATTTCAATTTTTTAAGTTAGTAAATATAGATAAAATATTTCAATTATACAAATTAAAAAAAAAAAAAATAATAAAATAAAATGATACATTTAAATTTAAAATGAATTTAAAAATACTTAAAAATATAAAAAGGTACGACAATATTTTCCATAGAAAAAGAAAATATATTGCTACGGAATCTATAATAAAAAATTCATATTTAACAAAAGAGTATTATGATAAAAGCAAAAAAAAAAAAATTGATCTGTTTGATTTTATACCACCTGAAAATTTTATATCTTCTTATTTTCAAAAACTAGATAAATGTTATTCAAATCCTAGATCAATATTAAGGTAAATATTTTTGAATATATCTATTTATTTTTTGTATTCACCTTCCTTTTAATAATTATTTTTTATAATTCATGTAATTTAATTTGTAGATTATACAAAGATTATATTGATAAAGAAGATTATCCAAATTACAATTGGCTAGTTAGATGTTTTTGTCAGTTAGCAAATGTGTTTGGTTTTAATTCATTTTGGAGTATAAAAGATAAGGAAGCAATTCATGATTTGAAATTATTTAAATATTTAATTTATGATTTAATTGAGAAAAAAGAATTAATTAAACCAAGACATTGTCCTCGATTACTCTATGCTATGTGTTGCTTAGATTACAGATGCTATTTTCTCATCCCAACAATTTTAGAAATAATTGAAATAAATTTAGAAAAATATAGAATTCCTACATTATGTATGATAAGTTTCTGCTTATCATATTTGGGTTTAACTAATAAAAATGTGCAATTTGGTTCTGAAAATAATTTATCAAGGAGTTATAATTTAATTATTAAAGTATTAAATAACATATATGAAAGAAGAGAAGAAGCAAAAAGTGATACAACAAATTTTTGTTGGTCATTGCTTTCATACGTTATAGTTATTAATAATATGTATGAATTTCCTTCAAAAGATAATAGCTTTTTACCAGATATTTTAACAAATGCATGTAAATCTTTAACAAAAGAAAATATATCAGAAAGTGGATGGTTGCAATATTTTTTATATATAACATTATATTGTTGTGATGTAGAAAAACCTAGTAATGAATTAGAAATAAAGAAAAGTATTCCATTCTTTATTCAAGAATATTTACATTTAAAATGGTTAGATAATATTTTAATAACTGCTCAAAATCAAGGTTCAGAAAAAATGCAATTAGAAATGGAAAATATTATACAAAAATTAAAATTAAAAAATTTTTTTATTAATTTATCTGTTGGAAGAAAAATAGATGAACAACACTGTTTTTTTACTTCTCATTTTTATAAACCATTTAATTTATGTATAGAATATGATTATTTTCATCCAATAGGTTTTAATAGGCCATTAGTTAGTGGTATAATATCATTAAAAAATAGAATATTTAAAAAATTAAATTTTAATGTTGTTAATATTCATAAATGTTTTTGGGATCTTTTATCGGATGAAGAAAAAGAATCACAATTAATTAAAATAATTGAAGCTTTTCAAACAAAACAAAATACAGAAACTCTTAAGGAAAAAGAATATTATGGTGAAAAGAAATTTGATTCTAATATGCTTCATTTAAAACATAAGAGAATCAAATTTCACAGTTGGCCACCAGAAAATATAACAGTTTAAATTTAAAAAATATATCTTCTTTTATACTTTTTATCTCTATCTTTTTTTCTTTTTTTTTTTTTTTTGTATTTTCTATTTATTTTTACATTAAACTTTCAGTTTTTTTTTTCATTTTTTGTTAACTTTTTTAGTTAATAGAGAAAAAAAAAAAAAAAGTATTAAGATTATTTTTTTTTTTTTTTTTTTTTTT